TAGCCTGATAAAGCTGTGTGGAGGGTCTTGCTGCTTAAACTGTATTCAGTTTCTCTTGTTCAATCTGTAATTAAATAAACCAAAGATGTCTGTTTGGTTTGGAACAGCAGACTGCCTAGCAACAAGTGTTTTGGTAGTTTTTTAGAGTAGACTCAGTGGCCCAACAGAAAAGATTAGCTGTGAATTTTTCTGTTTAACCTGTATTTTCAAAAGATTATTGTAAAACACATTTCTAAGTGATGAGGTATAGTGTAAGTCAGTAAGAAAAACTTACTGATGGATGAGGCATTGCAGATCTTATATTTAAAGTCAAACATTAATTGGTGAGATAAATCTGGCTAGTTGCTCATAGATGTGAGCGTATGATGTATGAAGAGAACCAGAAGGCTGGGGGCATTGAGGAGGGGTCGGTCGCATTGTTGCCTTGCACTCCCAAAAGAGGGTTATCAAGACTACGGAGCCAACTCTTCTTGGAGGTGCACAGCAAAAACACGTCAGGTAGTGGACACAAGTTACAGCAAGGGAAATGCTCAAAAGACAGTAGGGAGAAAAAAAAAATCACACTGAGATTAGTTAAGCTCTTGTACAAATTGACAGAAAGGTGGAGGTGTCTCTATCTTTGGAGAACCTCAGAATGCAACCTGACAACCTGAACATCCTCATCTAACTTTGAAGTTGGCTGTTCTTTGAACAAGAGAGTGGTTTATGTGATCTCTCAAGATCCCTTCCAAACTAAATTACTTTGAGTTGTTTTAAATGTAACGTATTCCTGCATAAGCTTTTATCTTGAGTTAATCATGCTTGCAAAGCTATAAACCTCTTTAACTTATCTTCTAAAACTGTCTTTTGCTGGTGATGTAGATGGCATAATGTGTACAGTCCCAGAGTTGGAGGGGAAGGAAATGAAATGATGAACTAGTATACAAAAAGGAAATTCACTTGCACTATGCTATGAATTTCTGGAAGTGCATATACGCTCCTGGAGTAAGTGTGATGTATCGTCTGGTGAAGGTATTGCACTGAAAATAGATTTCCTGAACATGTGCTGCATTTGTTCAATTCTTTCAAGCTTGCCATTTTGATAGACAATAAACTGTAGCTGCATAGTGAGATTTGGTGACTGTACTATGGGAACACATCATTATTTTAACGAAAATATAATTCCTTCTGTGAACAAAATTTTTAAAGCACTACAATTGATGAAAGTACCCTTCAGATGTGTCCATACAAGTCCTAGTCACTACTTTTTTTGTAGAAAATTGAAAATAATTTAAAAAAAAAAATTTAAACTAAGTTATTTATCCATAAGATAAATATACAGATGTGTTCAATTCCTTGCTCTTAGAAAATGTGCTGAATTTTGCAAGAGTCTGTTGTCCTTGTTCATGTTCTTCAGTCTTTCTCAAGGAAGCTGTCCTTCTAATACTAGGCAATGGATCTCGGAACATTTCAATTAGTTTCAAATTAGGGTTTTAAGACTACTAATAGACTTTTATAAGTGTTACTGTGCTCTTTCACTCAAATATACATGAAAATAGTACATATGTATATATTGCTTACATGTAAAACTTTCTTTTTAAATATATATCCTTATTAAAATGTACTACACGCTCTTTGCCAGTTCAAAACCAATCATTTTACATGCAAAAAGAAAGTCTCAAAGTTGAATTGCAAATCTGTGATAAGGCACATTTTGCAGCAAGCCAAGCAGTTGCAGAGTATCAGAATACATGAAACTTTCATGGAAAGACAGTAAACTGAAATATGGTCAATAAAGGCAATGCAGAGTAGCTGAAAGTATCCTTTTATGTGTGATGGCAGCAGCTTACAAATGTGGATGTTTGAAATGTATAGAAAATCACTGAAAAACTTGTGTATACCATGAAGTCCTCAATTTTTTCTGTAATGGTACTCTTAAGTACGTAGCACAAAGAATCTACGTGGCCTTTTTACCCAGTTGTTCTGGTCACAGAAATGCTGAATATTCTGTATATAAATTTCTCTAAAAGGCAACAGAAAGGTCTTGCTGCAAATACCTTCCACTTAGTTGGCTTATGAGTAATTATCCCAGTTTTAATGGTGAGCTCTCAGAAAAGAGATGATAATGTAAGTGGTGGTACATTCAGTCTCCCTAGCCCTGCAGGTGTTACAATAAAAGAAGCTTTAAGAGCTTTAAGAACTTGAAGAACCCCACAAGGGCAAAACCTACAGATGTTTCCTTCAGTTGTTTGTAAAGGGAGAGTTTTGCTACAGTGCTATTGTTTCAGTTGTCCCTTTTCTCTCGGGGTTTTACTCCGCTGTAGTTTATCATCCTCAGTTCTCAGAATAGCAGAATTCCCTGGTAGGGCACACCAGGTTGGGGAGGAGGAGGGGTCTTCCCTTAAGACCTTTCCTTTCTGTCCTCCTGACAGAAGAGGAGACTTAAACTTTTCCGAGCAAAGAGTTTTGTCATAAAAATCACCACCAAAAGAGCAATCCATAGGGAGTGAAAGATTGAAATGGCATCATTTTAGATAATTGTGGAGTAAGGAAGAGAAATTACCTGCAATTTTAAAGTGTTTGCTCGTTAGCTGCACCAATGGAAAGCTTAATGTCCTTGCAAGGAAGGGCACTTTTTCTCGATGACAAAGTTGAATGGCTGGTCTGGTGAGTGTTCTCCTTTATTGACTTAAAATATGGTCTGTGTTGCGTGTTGTGAAATGAGGAAGATAGGTTAGTAAAATGTGGAATACTGTACAGCCAGAAAGGATCATCTAGTTATTCATGTTTAAGGTATTTTATTGTATCGTTGAATAATTAAATCCTAGAAATACTATTTAACTGAATTGTGGAGCAAAATTTTGCAGCATGCTGAGCTACTAAAGGACTTTAGAAAGACACAGCTGCATTGTCCCTGATGAATTCTTTTAAGCATTGAATTTGGTCACTTTCTAGGTCAAATTTTTGGTCACCTTTTTCTAGTTTAAAAGATTACAGAGTGATTCAGTAACTATTTCAGAGCTGATATATTTGAATTAAAGTGCAATAATTCAACTGATAAATCTTCAGGAAATATGACTAAGAATTTATGTCCCATCTTTAAGTCTCCAAATGTATTACTGAGATCATGAAAAATTTGCTGTATGTTTATACACTGTATATGAATAGAAGCACAAGTAGGGTTTTTTTCTGTCTCAAATGACCTCACTCTATTGGGAGGAGAGAGGGGAGTTAATATATTAAAATGGGGACATTGCATCGGTTCGCATCACAATGCTGTGCGTATAAATTTTTGGTGAAGGCTTTTGAAAGGATTAACTTGTGGCAATGTGAATTCTACACAGAATTTGGTAATAGAGCTGTAACTCTGCTGTGCAAAACATAGAAGATATATGCAGTTTCATTGTTCTTTGCCTCACAAGGAAATCAATTAGCTTAAACGAAAATAAATTCAATGTTTCTTTATTTTTAGCATGACTTCCTAAGGAAATAAAGCTTATGTCATTGCTGCACTGCCTGTCTGCCTCCACTCCCACTTGAGAACGTCTGGACGATTGCAGTCAAATGTAGGAGTGGAGTTTTCAAAGATGTAAAGTTTTCTACAAGATTAGTGAAAAGCAGTGACTATGCAGGAAAAAAAAAACACAACAGCTGATCCTTTCGGACTGGTTACAGTACAAGTTGAATGGTTGTTTGTTCCATTTAGATGTGGGCTGGTCAGGCAGCAAGTAAGTGCCTGTTCCCAAAGGATCTGCTGTGCTGGCGCTTAGGGGGTAAAAATACAATGGGGATTGCAAACAAGGAGAACCGGAGGTACTTGTAAGAGAGTGGGAGTGAACATCAGTGGAATCACAAGGGGGGCATGATGGCAGTCAAGGAAGACAAAGTTTGGTGCTTAAAAAAAAACCAAAACAAAAAGTACGTACAACCCAAATCTCCACAAATTCTTAGGGAATCAGGCTTCATCATCTCTGCCTCTCAAGGAAGAAGTTGTTCATATTGTAGAATACATATAAGAACTTCACTAGACTGATACTGCTGCTATTTTTACTACAGTTTTGATGAAACGTAGTACATAATTCTTAGTAGTGAAGTTGTTTTAGAGAACAATAATTGAAAATTTAACTGTATACTGTGAATTGCCTCCTATAACTTGACAATTCAACTATTCTACATCCAAACCAAACTCGTTTGTATTTTTCCAGCATTGATTGATATCACTCCAGGTTTTTTGGTCACTACTTAATTAAATTTGTAAAGCTATCTATCCTGTCTGTCTTAAACTTACTTTGCTTTGCAAGCACTTTTCTGCTAATCTTTACTTTCAAATTTATTTTAGTATCATACCTATTGTTTTAATTGATGTTAGATTGTTTAACTCACTGTTTCAGGTGATCTCTGATGAAGCTAATTTCCATGCCTTGGAAAATGCTGTATACTGCAAATTTTGATTTCTTTTCCATGCTAGATTGTCCTCAACTGTGTAACACTTCTGCTTTAGTTATGCTTTGTCATAAAGTTCTCTGTCAACATCTGTTCTGCTCTCATATTATGAGAATCGGTGTAAGGCACTTCATGCTTCAGAAGCTGCCTATGCTCATTTCTTGTTACCTATACATGAAGATTTTGCCAAGTTTGGCTTTTTACGAAATACAGTCAGTGATGTCTGTAGTCAGTGATCCACATCTAAAACTTTCTTAAATGACATAGCATGTCTTGCTAATTAATTGCTTCTGTAAACTCCTACATAGTTCAAGTTGCAGTAGCAGATGTGTGTTGTCTGTAGTTGGGCTTGTGCCAAAAGTGGAAGTGAGTGGTTAGAGCTGTCCTGGGATTTTTGTTGTTTCATGAATTCCATAATTGTCTGATTCAGACTTTCAGCATAGGATTAAGTATTCTTTAATTTGCTGTGAGCACACCTTTTGGCTTTTATGCGGACTTTTAGTAGAATTTAATTCTTGCTTTTCTGAAGATTTAACTTATATTCGTTTACTGGTTTTTTTTGTTTTGTTTTTTAACAGGTCATCTGAACAGGAATCACCAAAGTGAGTTTTCTTTAAACTTTGTACTATAGAATCTCTAGCTTTAACATATATAATAAAATACATAACTTGAACTGATTTTTTCAAAGTAGCACTCTTGTGTGGTTAGAGGGCACAAATAAATGGATAAACCAATGAAAATTGTAAAGTTTTGGGGAAACAAAAATAAGGTTTTGGGTTAGAATGTGGGAAGTCTTATGTCCTTATACACCCCTAATCACTATTCACAAAAAAAATTGATTAAAAACTGTTGCAAAAAGTTTAATGATGCAAAAATCCACTCGTAATTTTATCTGATAACTCTTTATATAGTGCCAGAAGGCATTAACTGAATTTGTCATATTTTTCTGGTATTGTTAATTTTTTTTTTCTGCACTGAAAAATCATTATGATTTGTGATTTGAACTTGTAAGTGAAATGTGTGTTTTGTTTGGTTTTTAAATTATTATGTTCTGAAAAACTTATTGGGATTTATTTTCATATACAGTGTTCCTCCTTGGTTAACACTGGCCCCACAGGAATCATGAAATGTCCTGGAAGCTATCAGATAAAACCACAATTTTGACAGTATAATTGTTTTAAGTGTCATTATAGTTCACTGCTTCAAAGTATTTTGAAATTATTGAGAGTGCCAAGTGAATAGTATCTCCCAAATGCTGGAAAAACGTTTTCTGTAATAACTGAAAATTCCACAAATGTTGCGCAAAACACTTCATTCCCGCTGCCAAGTACACGTAGTATAACTGAAGGTCAGAAATACTATGGTAAGAAGAAGTTTGCTTGATGGCACCTTTCAGAATGTTTACATTTGTTGCAGCCAGATTTCCACAAGCCGAGAAAGAAGTGTTTGCATTATGAAGGTTTGCCGCAATGGAAGTCCTGTATGTTAAAAAGCCTAAGAAGCTACATTCCTCTATTGTGTAGTATTACTTCTTCATTGACAGCTAGCAGTGGCTACTGGAAATGCTTCAGAAAAGCTCACATATATAGTTAGACTACTACCAGGGCAGAGATGAATGTTTGAATCTACAAATTTCAGTGCCAGGATTTACTTGCATATACTTCCGCTACTTTAACCCTGTGAGAATTTGATGTTGCTTTTAGGGATAAACTGCAATAAACAACTAACAGCACGTGTACTTCCAAGGCTGAAATACACTTCATTGCAGTGCTGGGTTGTCAGTAGCAGCGCAGGGTGTTCTTGAAATACGTACTGCGGCTGAGCGTGGTGGTCTATCATGGAAGTGAAAGGTCTGTCTGCAGTGGGGTAATACAAGTAGCTAGGACTCTGGTTTTGCCATACACCATGCTCTGTGTTAGTTACAGAAAACTGCGTCTGAGCTCTACCTGAGCTTTCCCCAGGACAGAGATTTTCACAAACTGTTATGTGGTATTTATAAAGACGGAGCAGTTTTTATGGTATCTGTAAGTTGGGCCCAATTAAAGAAGGGTATCAGTAGTATTAGAGGTCTGCATTTCATCCTCTTCATAAGAGGGCATGTAGCTAAATGAATGTTTGAAAGCTCCTGGAGCACCACCAGGCAACATGGCCAATTATAAAATTTTGAGGTACTTAATTACTGACTTTTATTATCCTTGAATTTTAAGATTCTTGAATCACTAGGCCAGATCTGCACCCCAATTCAATTCTGGGTCATTCTACATGGTTATAAGTACCTTAATGACAGAATATATTAAGTGTAATGAAGCCTTTCATTGTCACTTCATTTCCTATTTCCCGTCCTGTTACTGTGATTTCCTGTAACTCTGCAACAGTGCCTTTCACCGCTAACATCCAAATATTTTGCTAAAAATGTTTTTGCTACTCTGGTTTTGTTTTGTCCATTCTTCTGGATGTCCACTGATCAAATTATAGGCTTAGATCATACTCCAATCCTGTTACCCTGCACCTCAAAAAATGGCATTAAATCTAAGTGTAAAGTTTGCTTGCTCTGGGCAGTACATTTGTGTGTTTTAATGTTTAATTTAAAAATCTGGATAACAATATCTTTGTACTATCTGTGTATCATTTTTAAATGAAGGAATGTATTGGGAAACAGTCCAAGTTCTCTGACCCGTATCTCACCTAAAGCCTTGGCTCAGTCTCCCAACGGAGTTGGTAACACTTCTGGCTCTTACCCATTGGAAGGGGTGGATAAACAGTTCTTAGAAACATACGATAACGTTACGAAAAGTAGCTCAACGGAAGATTCCAGTCAGTACTACTGCGATAAGGTATGTTCAACTGCAGGCTTTTAAAGTCAAAACTAGTACTGAATGTAGCTTTGAACTGTAGATTAAGAAGGCACAAAAATTGTGGTTATATTTCGGGATAAGAGATTTTTATGCAGTAATAAGTATAAATCTTGTCTTACTACTCAAATTTATCCAAGATTGTGTAGACAGTATGACAGGCAAGCCTGCCAACTGTATTGATTTCCATAGTGTCCAGGCTTCCAGAAGCATCTGCAGGGGAAGTTCCTAGTGGAATGGGAATCCTTACATGATTAAATCTTACTTCCTCCAAGGGGAAAGATTGGATCACTCACGTTGCTACATGTCTTGATAGCAGGCACAACTCCGCTTTATCCCAGGCATCCCTTCTTCAGGATGGCTAAACATCACACTTCGAATTCTGCGCTGACTAGAGATCAGCTGCTCCCTGTTAACGTTATGGTAGAGGATCGTTCCTCTGTTTTCTCCAGCCTGTTCCAGAGGGGTGCTGAACAGCTTCCCAACCTGCCTGTCCAGCAGCTGCTTTTAGTCCTTCTGGCTCATGGATCTTTTGCAGAAGATACCAATGCACTCATTTACAGGAGAAAAATTGGGGAAAAAGTAGTCACTTCCTAGTCCTTAGAGTAGAATTGATTCAAATGTGTTGTGCCTGGTATTTTTTCCTTTTAAGTAACCTTTACTAAAGACAACACTTTGACAATTTTAATAGGAGCTATCAATTGAAAAAGCTAAGATGAGAGTAACAGTGCTAGGATAGAGCAAGCAGAGAACATATTTGCTGTTATTTATGTTGTTATTTTTATAATTTAAAAGTTTACAATTATATTCTGTAAACTTAGCTTCTTCCTATTTTAAATGTGGATTTAAGTAAGTATTCTTGTTCAGCACATGAAAATTTGGATGAAATGTTTTCTAATTTGCTGCTATTTTCTTCTAAAAATCAGAAAAGTTTTGGCTTGTTTTTTCTATATATTGCAGAATGACCTAATTGAGGGAGATTTACTTTTGGTGCGTATCACACCAGATGAAGATGGGAAGTTTGGATTTAATCTAAAGGTAAACCAGCAATCTTTTAGTTATTTTTAAATGCTTTATAGAGATACTATGAATTTATGATTATTTTTCATTTCTAGTGCAATGCATTGGAGAAAGCAGTGTATTCTACAGGAGTTTCTTATGGACCAAGAGGTTTTAATGCTAAACCAACATTTACAGAAATAAGCCTATACTAGTTCTGTGGGTTTTAGTTACATATGCTATGGGCATGGCACATTTCCAAATCAGACTGCCTGTTTGGCTGCTTAAATACGAGCTTGGAAGCCTAATTTAAGGCATCAACTTTTGGAAAATTGGACATCTGTATTATAAAACAAGTTAAATAGTTTGTGCTATCCAATTGAATATAGCCATTAAAAATCATATTGGAAAGGTGAAAATTAATTTACGAAGAAAATGGGAATTACTGTTGATAACTGACTATTGTAAATTTTGTACCTTCCCTCACTGTAATTCCATTTAAGCAGATACAGTACTGTAAAGTAACCGTAATATCAAAATCAAGGCAGAGTTTGATCTTTTCACCTTGGACATTTATTGGTGGGGCAGTGATGGAACATCATGTAAAGAGAATAATGGAGTACAGTTATCTGGCACTTTGATCCTACCTGAACCCTTGCAGGTTCGTCACAACATCGAAGAACATTGTCCACCTTGCAAGTTCAAGTGTTGAATTAGACTTGCTTGAAGGATAGACTTAGAATAAATGCTGCATTTGATCTGTTTATTGCCTGTTAAAATATATGACCAAGCAAAGACACTGGATCTAGTTTTCTGGAACTTGGTAGATCTAAGGACACCCCCCCATTTACTAATGGAAAGTCAGTCTTACCAACTCTGCCTATAATGACAGAGCATAAAGTTTATATAAAAACAAAAATAAGCAATTACTTGTTTTAAATGCTTCTTATGCTTAATGATGTATTTATGGTTGTTATTTACTTGACATTCCTCTAGGGTGGTGTAGATCAAAAAATGCCATTAGTGGTATCAAGAATAACGCCAGGATCACCTGTAAGTAAATTCTTAAGACTTTTAATCCATTCCGTTATTACTCTCTCCACCGTACACAGGAATTTGGACTCCCATAACCAGTATGAGATAGCAGCTGAGCTGTTCTCTTTAAAAATTGATTTCACCAGTGGTTTCTTGAACCAGTTAGTGAAAGTCAGGTTCTTCATGCTTAGTGAAGTAAAGTAGTTCTTTATGCATAAGAGAGTAGACCTGTGAAATTCCTTGACAAAGGATGCTATGCTTAAAATAATATTGTGGGTGGTCAGGAGAGGACAAATACTTGGGAGAAAAACCTGCTGACAGTTACTGAATAGACAAACCACAACAGGCTGAGGAAATCCTTAGGGCTAAAAATATTTTCAGGATGGGAGAGTACTTGGCAGGGGAGAGAGGGCACAGAATATGTTTGCTCTGTTCTTATTTTGCCATAGATTTTTGCTTATGGAAGTATTTATGGACTAGGTGGAACATTCATCAGAATCAGTACAGCCATTGAATTCTTATGTTGAATTGTGGAATAATAATAGAAATATAATATCTTGGTAACGTTTTTCTAAATAATTAGTATGTAAATTTGTGAGGACATACCTTATCTCAATTTTCTTTTTTCACTCACCTTCTTCCAAAGTGTATTTCCCAGCTCTCATTAAAAAACTTGATAGGAAATATTGCTGGCTGACTTCTAAAAGTCTGATGTACTCTGCATCTTGTAGACTCTTGAAATTTGATAAGTAGTCACAGGACTGATATCTAGATGTCATGATGTAAATCAAGCTAAAACAGATTGTTTGAGACATTGTTTTTGTCACATTTATGATTTGTGGCTTAACTTACGCAGTGCATAGCACTCCTTTGTTATTATTTGAATAAAAGAGTAGTAGGAAACTATCATTATAACTTAAATCCACAAAGTGAAAATCAAACAGTCCTTTAAACAGGACTTTAACAGTCCTTTCGTGGACCAGCTAGCAAACTTCTTAAGGGTGATTTGAGATACTGAAGTTAATGTAGGGCAAACAAGGCTCATTCAATCAGAGAATGAAAGATGCTTCTCCAGAGGCAGCGATTTCCTTTGGCAGATTGTCTTCTGGAAGGTACTGATCCTTTTTTTTTTTCTTTTTTTCTTTTTTTTCTCTTGCATTGGAAAAGGGCTGGACTTCTAACTTACACTCTTCATTTAAGTGTCTCCAGATAGTGGCACAGGCATAAATGCAAGTGACCAATTAGTTCTCTAGCCTAGTAGAGAGCAAGTCTCACCAAGTGAGCAAGTTATCAAGGGTCAGGGAATAAATTGGAAATGGTTACCCAATACAATATACTAAACAGCAATGTATAGAAATCATGTCATCTTACAGCAAGAGGAAAAAAAACATACTTAGTTTTAGAGTATAGCAATATTAACAATGATTATATTGTTTTCCATAAACTAAATTTCACCTGTTCTTGACTGTTTAATGAAATGTAGTTGATATTTGAAAGTTCAAGCGAAGCAGTCTATGGGATACATTTGTATGTTATTTTAGCTCAGTGATGCCATTCCTTCATTGTATTTGCTACTCTTTTAACTTGCTCTAGATTTACTGGTTACCCTGTAAATTTTTCTCAGGGATGCTGTTTGTTAGTGTTATTTTCTAAGATTATTTCTCAGGTTTGTAGGTCAATTTTTCCCACTTTCCTGGAAAAAGATCTGTATTTTTTGTGGAGGAGGGGAAGCAAATCTAGTCACCAAAATAAGATAGTATTTTCTCTTTCATGTCCTAAGGTTCTTTTAAAAATCCCCCTCTAATACAACAGCAATCTAATATACTGGGAAGATGTATGACAGAGTAGCCAAAACTGTTGTGGGAGAGCGTTATATCTGAAGAACAGCTATTTATTGCAAGTTTGGTTTTGGTTTGGTTTTGTTTGGTTTTTTTTGTTTAAAGTCCTATACTGACTGTTTTCACAAACAGTATTAATGTCCTAAGGTGCTAAAGAAGTCATTGTGGTTTTATTTAATAGAGCTTTTCATTGAAATCTAGTATGCATGCTTCTTGGAGCAATAACAAGGTGATTAGCATAAAATGAAACATTGGGTGTGTCAAAAGGACAGGAAATCTTTGATATAATTAATTGTCTGGAAAAGCTCAGTATCTGAAAAATCTACAAATTATGCTTACATAGAAGGAATTAATTCTCCTTCAAGATATATTTTATATAGTCAGATGATTCAAGTAAGAGAGCTGAGGTATTAACATGTCGCATGATTAACAAAGTTTCTCTGAGCAAAGGTATTAATCTCCTTCTGTAATAAAGAATAATAGCCAGCAACCAGCCAAAAAATCTAAATTACAGGCAAATGTAGGAGATCAGAAACCATTCCCTCCATGTTCTTGTTGACTTCTTGACTCTCCTACACTGACCTGATATGGTCTTTATATCACTTGTCTTTTCAGATAATTATATTTCAGAGAGAGTATTTTATACCTCACTAATATTTTAGAGTGATTAAATCAATCATTCATAGTTGTATTCTTCAGTCTTGCCTTTGCAAATTGTACAAAACATGGTAAGGGAGCTTTAGGGCAGTTGTGAATACCTAGTTAAGTCAGTGTTGAAGAGCACCATGGCTGTTCCTAATTCCCATTCTTCTCTATATTTGTCTTTTTTAATTAATCATTCTAAGTCTTCCCTATGCTTCATTATTTTCTTTCCTTATTTCTTTGGAAAAAGTTGGGGGGAACTATTCCTTTTTTTTTTTTTTTTTAAGCAGTTTCTCTGCTTGGGTTTTTTTTCTTGTGCGTACATCTTTTTCCCCTCTCTTCTTCCTTTTCTCTTGTATCTGTTTTGTGGCACTCATGCATGTTTTAAGTTTTCTTTCCTTTTAGTTTATTCTCTGACACAAGTGGCTCCCAATTTATATTCTTCTTCCTATACTTGCCTCTTTTTTTATTCTGCATTTTTCTTCATGTTGGTTCTATCATTATCACTTCTCCTTTCTATCTCTTCTGATTTTTTACTTGGTAGTATAGTAATCACTGATAAACTTACTTTAGGGAGCCATCAGTACAAGGCATGATCAGGATCGGGGCTAATGAGAACATCTTGTTCACATTTGGGGCATTGGTGGTGGTTTTTTGATAGGGCTAATAACATTGGATGACTAAAGTTCAGGGAACCTGTGCTGGCATTAAAGAAATCTAGAGCACAAGTGTTATGAAGAGCAGCTCAGGGAACTGGGGTTGTTTAGTCTGGAGAAAAGGAGACTGAGGGGAGACCTTATCGCTCTCTACAACTACCTGAAAGGAGGTTATAGCCAGGTGGGTGTTGGGCTCTTCTCCCAAGGAACAAGTGGTAGGATGAGAGGAAACGGCCTCAAGTTATGCCAGGGGAGGTTTAGATTGGATCTTAGGAAAAATTTCTTCACCGAAAGAGTTATCAATCATTGGAACAGGCTGCCCAGGGAAGTGGTGGTCTCACCATTCCTGGAGGTATTCAGAAGGCGTGTAGATGTGGCACTTAGTGGTGGATTTGGCAGTGCTAGGTTAATAGTAGTATCATCATCGTATTCTGGGCATGGCTTGAATTGCTTTGCACTGGACTTAGAGCTAAGCATGCTAAGAAATGTGGCAGAAAAAAAGACAAACAAACCCTAGAGTTCAGCAGCTGGTCTAAATTGCTGTATCCAAGACAAGACATAATGTAAGTTTTCATTTGGGATGGGGAAAACCTTGTTTTAGTGTTCTCCCCTGCACAGAGCAAAGGAATTTGTCTCAAATGCAGGGTACATGAGCATCATAGGTTGAGTACTTACCTGCATCTTCTTGTTAAAACTTTCAGTAAATGAAGTGAGGAAGAACGTTCTCCATTTGTAGATATCGTCTGATATCCACCAAACAAGACTGATAAATAACAAAAATACGAAATGTGTATGGATTTCTTTAAATTTTAAAAAGTGCATGTTGGGGGAATATCATGTTACTTAAGTTATGTTTATTGAAATAATGTTTGGACTTCTCAATATTCTCTGCATAAAAACTGAAGTGTGTCATCTTGTGTGCCCAAAACACTTCTTCCAGAAATTCGTTTGCAAGTGGCTATAACCAGTGGTTATTGAGGCTTGGAGTCTGAAATTTAGGTCTTTAAGAGCAATCTGGTGATGGCTATTTGATAAATATGAATTCTTTTTATAGCTGTCAATATGCTGTTTGAACTGTTTCTTATCTTCATTGAGAGGCTTTAAAGCAAGTAAGACAGCTTTAGACCTGAATGCTTTGATAGAACTTCTGGTACAGAAGATGAAACCTTGTCAGGAGAGCTCTGAAGACTTCGGTTACATAATAAACTTAATATCCTGATGTGTTCCTGCTTGTATGACTGGATGCAATGACATTAATACGTTTCTTTGGTCTTGAAACAGGCTGATAAATGCATTCCAAAACTGAATGAAGGTGATCAGATAGTATTAATTAATGGCCGAGATATCTCAGAGCACACGCATGACCAGGTGGTCATGTTCATAAAAGCCAGCAGAGAATCTCACACGAGAGAGCTTGCACTTTTGGTCAGGAGGAAAGGTAAATGGGCTGATTTTATTCGTATTTAATGTTTGTGAGACTGTTGCTCTTATGCTTGGTGGTATACCCTCTTCTTTTTATGTAAATATGTTTTCAGTGCACTGGGCATAGGTCTGCACTAAAAAGTAGATCTCCCTGCATTTTGAATTACAAGTACAACTAGTTTTAATGATAGGCTTTTACTACTGCAACAAAGACTCTATCAAGTTTGAATTTCTTCTTATTTTTAAACTCTAAAAATCTATAAGAACATATGGTTCCTTGCAAAAGCTCTTTTTGTAAATATAGCATAATTTCACAAATCACTAATTGCAGGTTTACAAATACCCATGGGCTGTTCCCCAGCTCAGTTATACCATGAAACAAGTCAAATCAGCTGTTTTCTTTCTTTTTTTTTTTACTTTTCTTTCTTTCCTTCTTTTCATTCTTATAATACACATTTGTGACAACAATGAGCTTGACCTGTGCTGGCTACTTGCTAAATTGCTGCCAGCAAACAGGAGACAGTCTCTGAAATATGCAGAGTCTTAAGCCTTTACATTTTAAATACAGGGAAGCTCAGTTTTGCTTGCTTAATATTTAAACACCCGCAGATCCCAGGAGCTTTCAGTTGATGTGAAACTTCTAGTTTATTATTTACTTTCCTTAAGAGCTATGGTAAGACCTTAACACACACGATTATGGAAGGGCTTTGCACAGAGTTTCTGATTACATTAAGACTTAAAAATCTGAAGGGATTATACATCACTGGGAAACAGGAAGGAATAAAACTGCCTAAACATTGTGCACCTCTGTAGCATTTACTTTATTTAAAATTTCTTAGTTTCTGAGAAGAGATCTGGGCTCTTGGTCTTGTTTCTCTGACCACAGTCCTGCTCCTATTATTGCAGGCCTTTCTGCTGGCTCTGTGCAATATTTAGTCTTCTCTTAACTTTTCTAGTATGCTTTCTACTTGCAGATAAGGGAAGTCTCAGCTCATAGCTAAAGATAACCTGTAGCCCCATGCCAGTCATTTGTATGGGCATGAGTATGAGCAGCTCCCCGTTTTCTGTAGTTTGGTGGGTATGAGCCGTTCTGATCACTGCAGAGAAAAACCACAGCTCGACACATTTGGTAATACAATAGTTTTCATACAGAGACAGAGCTGCTGTGTAGATTAATTAATGTTTGTCATGTTCCTCAGTGTGTTAGCAAGTAATGTCATAGACAGCTGACTAATAAAACATTTTTCTAGTTTATTAAAATAGCTTCTTCATTGTTAGCATAAGAAATTGCAAAAGATAATTCAATTGTTTCTCTAATGGCAGGGACGTACAATGTAAGTATGTTTCTGTTCATTTTGCTGCTGGAGGTCCAAACTTATATGAACTTATCTTATAAAGCTATTCCATTAATTACACTCTAAAATTTTTTAGGCAAAACTCATTTGGCTTTTACCATGGTGGATATTGTGATTCATTAGACTGTCCAGAAGTTCCTTCTGTAAGACAAGGTTGCAGCAAAAAACCTCTTCATGCTTGGAAGTCAGGTTCTTTGCTTTCATAGTTAGGCACCTTAAGAAGTTTCATCTTCCTAAAGGTCACAAGGGCATTTCACTCTTAGTAGTATAGTAGTACTATATATAGTACTAAATATAGTACTTAGTAGTACTATAGCACATAAAGAAATGCAGTTAAATGTGTTGCTGTTATTTGCTTTCCTGAGACCTTGTCTTTGCAGACTTTGTTGTTCTTGCAGGCTGGTAGACTCTAATATGTGTTGCAAACACAGTAATGCTGTATGTAACGGATTTTAATTTTCAATACGTCTTTCAGTAGTTAAACAGTTTGTGGAGCCTAAATCAGAAGATGAAGCTGATTCCCACAATCTCCCAGAATCAATTATTCCTATCTGTTCCGAATATGGTGGTGATACACTGGAGGAGTCTATGGAACAGCTAAGGAAGGGGCTGGAAAGTGGGACAGTCCTTATTCAGTTTGAGGTAGGTAATACTCAACTCTCAAATGCCATTAATACAGATCAATAGCTATGACCACCAAGTAACGTAAGGGCTTAATTAATTGGAAATCTCATTGCTCCCATTCAGTCTTATCTCAAGAGAGCAAGAATGTGACTTGCCCATCAGTTTCACCCTTCACTACTTAAGATAGGGAAGAGTTATCAGTCTTGCATAAAACATCATCTGCTGAGAAAAATGTGTTTTAGTTAACATGTTTCTAGCTCAAGTACCCAAAGCTTACTAAATTAATTTATTTTCCTAATACTTTTATTGAGTAAAATAGTGGGGTTTTGACAGAGTTCAGTCTTGTATTTTGTTTCTTTTTCCATGCCACTCAGTGACATTTCTAAAATATCTTTTATACCTTAACTTAGGTTTTCAAGTTTTCATGGTTTGCCTTCTTTCATGGAATAACAGGACCACTTGACTATTCCTGATCATCTTCTCTTAGAGGCTGATATGAAAGTGTAGGAATAATTTCCTACACTTAATTTCCATTTGCAGGATATTTGTAATGTCCAGTTCTGTGATGTTTCTCCCTGGCGATCTAAAACACTGAAAATTACTCCTTGGGCAAATGACTTCGTTGGTGAGATTCCCCTGCATATAGGACGAGATTTGGAAGAACTGCTATACAGATTAATGAATTAAATCTAAAACACTGAAAGTTACTCCTTGGGCAAATGACTTCGTAGGTGAGATTCCCCTGCATATAGGACGAGACTTGGAAGAACTGCTATACAGATTAATGAATTAATGCTTGTTGTGTTCTTCAATGTGTTAGCAAGGAATGTCATAGAAAACTGACTAATAAAATGTTTTAGGTTTATTAAATTAGTTGCTTCAGTGTTAGCATAAGAAATTCCAAAAGGTAATTCAGCTGCCTCTCGAATGGCAAGGGAGTACAGCATAAGTATGTTTGTGCTTGTTTTGCTGTCAGGGATCCAAACGTTTATAGTAACTTTGGAGAAACCCTGGTGGTTATGATACATAAATTTCACATTGTTGATTTCTGGAGTAACCCTTTCTGACACTGAAAACTTGTAGAACAGCAATACCATTTTCCCCATTTTTATATTTTTCCTTCACTATTTTTTCAAATGCCATAAGATTCAGTGTTGGTGGCTAAAGTGTTGTGGTATTGCTTATTGCATGACCACTCTTTTTATGAGGTTCACTTTGTTTCCAAGATTTCTGAGAGTTAAGATTCCCCTTTTTTCAAGGAATTGTAGACTGTGGTTCATAGTTCCTTTCCAAAATCCTCAGCGCTGGTTGCAATGCAGCAGTAGTAATGAGTGTGTTGGCTATTGAAACAGTAACTCAAAAGATATGAACTAGCCTTTCAGTGCTTTGTTAATTGTCAAAGTTGTAGACTGAAGTTGTGCACAAAGTTCATGCAATAATCTTCGTAGGATATTTGATCCTTTATGACTTTTCCTGACAGCATTTATAAAAGGATGTTACTGATGTGTCAAAAAAAGCTAAAACCTTTTTGAAATCTAATAAACTAGGGGACAGGTGAGTGGCCTTCTTTCTTTGAGTTCATTCTTTAGTGACCTTCAAAAGCAAAGATAATTGCAGCATTACCTCGTCAGCTTTGGTGGCTCTCAACTCTCCATTCACATGAGTAAAATAGTAAATAATTAGCCAGTAGACTATGAATAATCAAGTTTTTCCAGAATACCTTCCTTCACTTTAGCAGAATTTAAGTCTGTCAATAGCAAATGACTTTTGGCCAGGCAACAATAATGAAGCTTCAGAATTTTAACTGAAGTTTAAATTATTCTTCCTTGTGTCCCTAAAAAAACAGAAATCGCAACTTGGCTCTAGTAAAATGGAACTTGAGTTATAACTGATAGAAGCTGTTTGGTTACATGTATTATCAAGTTCTCTTCTCATATGGCTTGTTCATGCTGTTCAAGTTGAAAAACATGGTGAGCTGTGATACTGAGTCTTAGGATTCAGTAAATCTCACAGAAGAACAAACTTTTTTGTGTATTATTCCTTTTCTCTCAACCCAAGTAGGGGAATTTTAGCCTCCTATTTGTTTCATTCCATTTTATGTGTGGAACCATATTCTAAACCTTCATTAAACATGTAAGATATAATAAGCTCTTTGGTAAGTGTTCCATGAAGTATTTAGACTGTGGCACAGCCAGGTTAATAACTCAATTGTAAGTTGCTTTCATGTATATTAAATACAGAAAAACTGTAGTTGTATAATTGCATTTTTTTATTTTGTTGTTGTTTTTCCCCCCTCTGTACCTTTTGTTGTCTTTATACAATGCACTTAATGCATTTTGACCTCAAAATCTATTTTTAGTTATACACTTCTATGCCTTACATTTACTCCAGATAAAGTTTGCAAGATAGGGGTTGGCCCAAAAGAAGGAGAGTCACGTATTAAGAGATTGTGATACATTGAAGCTTTGTTTTTTCAGGTACTTGCAGGATTGGATGTGCTGGTTTTAGACCAGAGAATAGAAGTTTGCTTGAATTCTTTGGGTTACAGTTGATTCCAGAAACTATCAGTCTGCACTGTTTGTTTTTTTTCTTCTGATGTCTTTTATTGCTTGTTTCTTCCACCCTCAGTTCTGTTTTCCTTCTGGCGCATAGTTTTATAAGAAAAAGGCAACCTTGCAGGGAAACACACTTCCTCTTTTTTTTTTTTTTTTTAAGTTCTTCCAGAGATGATGATGGGCTAGTGATATCAGAAATTCTTGTAATGGTAAAAAGTACAAAAATCTCTCAGGTGAATTTTGCAGATGATTAGGAAAAAGATTAAAGAACATAACTTATGATTTTTTTTTCAGTCTACGTATTTTCATGTTAGTCTATTTAGTGTGTGTATAGCATAATCACATCCCTCAAAATTCTACCATTTTTCATTCTGTCTTGCAGCAACTTTATAGAAAGAAACCAGGATTGGCTGTTACATGTGCAAAGGTACCTCAGAATATGGACAAGAATAGATACAAAGATGTTCTACCTTGTGAGTATTAAGTACAGACTTTCTGCGTATTTTGCTTTATCCTCTAAATGATATAAAACTGTTGTATTGAACTTCATGATTAAAGATGTCATTATATAATCAAAGTTATATAATTGTTCATTTTCTTTTAGAAAAGGTAATCTATTTTGGTTTGTATTCTGTTGTTTGTGTGTCTGCAATTCTTCAGGTTTTTTACTTAATAGAAAGAAAGTGTGCCCCTTAATTGCTAATTTGATTCCCTCTTTGGGTTTTTTTGTGTGCAGATGATGCCACAAGGATAATACTGCAAGGAGATGAAGATTACATTAATGCAAATTACGTGAATGTAAGTCATAGAGAGACCTGCATTTGTTCACTTTCTGTATTACATTAGCAGACTAAATTTAGCCTTTTTAAGGAATAACGGTTTTTCATTTTATACTTTGGGGATTTGTAAATGTAAAAGATGTAAAGACTCATAATGTAAAAGTTTCTTTTGTGAAATGAAATGTGCAGGGTCTTTAACCAGTAAAAATTATTTTACCTTTCCACATACTGTGAATGCTGAGGTTATCTCCTATAGTGTAAAACTAAGCCTTTTTACTCTAGAATGGCTTATGACCTACCACCTATGCTATGAAGGGTCCAGAAGATAAACCAGAGCCCTGATTGCCCTAGTCGTGTGTAGACTGGGAGACAGGGAAAAGAGGGGAAAATATGTGTTTGTGTCAGATGCTTATGTTAAACACCTAAATCACAGAATCAGCTATTAATTTATTGTGTCTAGTATCAGGCAATAAACAGCTTTTGTATACCATACCATTATTGCTCATTAAATATTAAAGAAAATCTGGAAAGCTTTGTAGTTTCAAGTTTTCAAACACATTTTCACTATTAGTCATCTCTTCCTAGTTCAGCATGATGGACTATAGTATCTATAGTATACATCTGGTTTAATTTAAATATACAAAGATTTTTCACATAACAAATTATGATCTTGATTGTCTTATTGCTCAGCTTGCCACCTTAATCTTCCTTCAAAACTTCCTCTGTTTGAATGAAATCCTAAATTAAAGAAAAACAGTACTTGAGTAGTGAAAGCAAACTTTACGTAGGGTTTTTCTTTCTCTTTATAGATGGAAATTCCTTCTGCGGGCATTGTGAACAGGTACATTGCTACTCAGGGGCCTCTTCCACACACATGTGCACACTTCTGGCAAGTAGTCTGGGATCACAAGTTGTCACTGATCATCATGTTAACAACTCTCACTGAACGAGGACGAGTAAGTGTTCAGGTTCTTTGTATGCTGAAGAAATGTACTATGCCTTTAAACTTTATTTCTATTGTTTAACTCTAAAATAGGCCATTACATGCTGTCCTTTTTCCCCCCTGAGAACCAGGCTCCATGTTGTAGTTGGTCTCCTAACAGTTCAGCAGATGTCTGGAAGTGTTGAGCAGGTTGAGCAAAACCTGCAGTCTGGCTTCAAACAAGAGTCTGCCATTGTAGTACTTACTAGTTTTAGCATGCTGGCAGTTAGAATTTAACCTGCTTATTTTTATTTGTTGCAGATTCTTTCCTAGAATTGCTCTGATAAGTCTTTTAATTCTATTTAAATAAATTCTAGCACTCCATTAGTTTCAGAATAATACAGTGAAAATTAAGGCAGTATCTGGTGTATTCTGTTGTACTCTGATTTAATGTATCCTTTGTAGTTCTAAAGATGAAGTTTTTAGATGGTTAATGTACATACAGGGATTGGATTTGAAGTTTTAGAAGCTGAAAACTGAACAGTTTTGGGTTTTTTTTAAGAAGTGGAGGAGATGATGACTTCTGTATGCCTTCACTGTAGCCTTTATCTATATTTCCTACATTATCAAATTTATCTGGCATCCCAATCAAAACCCAAGTTTTTGGAAAGCAAGAGAGAGTGAGGTCATAAACAGCATAATGATTAGAGACCTAAGTAGGGACAGTTAAGTGACAATGTAATTCCTCATTGAAATGTATGAAAAGTGTGAAAGCTGAAAAGCAGCAGATTTTAACTGTGGTCAGGTTATGTAGCTATTCATGGAGATGGACATTATTGAACGTCATCTGGCACAGGAATGCTCCCTTCATCTTTCGACTGTATTGCAGACAAAACAGATTGTATTGAGGAGAAACACAAATTAATACTGGTCTGTACTTTGCCCAGTGAGTTGGAATCTTCAAGGTAATTTGTTGCTAACTTCTAACCATCTTGCTGGCACATTTATACACCACACACTTTTTATGAGTTTTGTTTATTTCAGAGATGTTTTACATTTGCCCAGTTTGTGGGTGAATTTTCAAAGATAAAAAAAGATGTAGGTTCTTGCCAGAGCATCCCAATTGCCATACTTTTTCCCAAACCCTGGAGGTTTTACATTCTAGACTATCTCTTTTCAATGGCATTAAGATTTGCATTGTAGGATAAAAACCATCTTTTTCCCCCAACAGTAATGTTTGGTTTTTAGAAATGGATGCATTATTTTGGCTTAAATTTAAAGGCGAAAGTATTTTTGATAGACTACTACAGTAAAAGTTTCAGGCATAAAGGGTAAAATTTGGATTTCAAGCCATTGAAAATTGAGCCGTAAAAAAGGTAGGATTATGAAATTTTAGCATTACAAAATTTCCAGCTCTTGCCACATTTTAAAAAAGAAGTTACGAACAAAAAAAGTTATAGGTGGCACAAGCAATGTTGATAAGTTGATAGAGAATTCAAATTAACCAAAGCTGAAATATAAATGTGTTGGGAATATCAATTTGTTGGGTTTCTTTTGGAGCCAGTAACTGTTTTTGTTAAAATGTATAGGCAGTGAAGAGGACAATTATAGCTCAGCTGTTTTGGTCACACACAACTGAATAAATTTTTCAGTACAATGTCTGAGGAGTTATGTCAAGATATTTTTTTTTATGACTCCCTGTGACTCAGCTGGACTTTTTCTTTAGTATGCCTTTTCCATAAGTCCAGTGGACTCATACTTGGAAACTGTTTGGTTTATATTTGTTACATGATGGCAATTAATTGTAAGACTGGAGTTGGAAGTGGAAGTGGAAGATGAGAATATTTAATTACTGGGATGAAATGTTGGAACTTTTATGTTGATAGGCAAACTTGAGCAGTCTTCAGTGGACAAGGATTTCACTGAACTAGTATCTCACTGAAATACTTCAGTCTATTCCACAATAGATTTTCAGCCTTTGATTAGTTGGGAAATGAGGTGGCAAACCTTCTGTGATCAGCGCTGCTCTAAGCTTACCTTTTAAAATGAGGAATAGATATTGGCATTAGGAATGTTTCTACAAAAGTTGCATGTATACTGACTAGCTGTGCCTATCTATCTGCCTTTAGAAAGTGAACCAGAAAAAGGAAGTTTACCTGAATTTTCGTTATAAATTACTACAAATTTTATAGATAATTTAGCCTATGTTGTCACATTATTTTCCAATTTGAATGTAAACACCTCACCAAGAAACCAGAATAGATTTTATACCATTCCTTGAATTCCCTGAGCCATAGCATAGGGAGGGTAGGCTGGAAACAGAAGTGCTTGTATACAGTCTTGACATGTTCTTAATTTTTCTTTACAGACCAAATGTCATCAGTATTGGCCTGATCCACCAGAGGTAATGGAATATGGCAGCTTTCGTGTCAGATGCCACTCTGAAGATTGTACGATTGCTTATGTTGTTAGAGAAATGGTGATTACAAATGTTCAGGTAAATGCCCGTTATCTTCAATTATCCCCAAGCAAGCTGAATGAATTCATGTGTGGATAAGTAGATCTAGACTCTGAGCACCTATATCTCTGTGAATATACACATTTGTGTGTGTATATATATACCTACATGCATGCACACAATTTTTTATAAAAAGAATATGTATATATTGTATGAATCAATATAGTATGATTATTTCTTTAGAGCCTCTTCAAAAACATACTTTTTGAAGTTCTATAATACATTCATACATTATGCTGTACAGGTACTGTAATAAGCTTCATAAAGGACTTTAGTGCCTTTCTGTGAACAGTTTTACAATCACTGACTCATCACAAGTATTTCGATGTTCAATGAGAGTTTTTTCTAAGTAACTGTGCTTTTTCAAGGATGAAATATGGGTCACTTGGTTAATGGCGTATGCAGCTAGAATAGCTAACAAAGAAGCGAAGTGTAATAATGTTGTTTTCAGAGAAGATGCAGACGCTCACCGGTTCCTTTTCATTGTCTTTAGTCAGATTTAAACAAAAGAAAAAAATCCTTATATATCTCAATTGAAATGTGCTCAATCTATGTAAGGTACTTATATTCCATAGCTGTTAATACTTTATGCTAGTGGAAGGAAAAGAGAAAGAAAAGGAAGGAAAGAAAAGGAAGGAAAAGACACGGCTTCAAGAAAGTTAAATACATGGAATACTTCTTGCATATCAGCTTGTGTTGTAAAATCTATGTTCAGATCACATCTAGACTTCCCACAACCAGAATATAGGGGATAAAGTTTGGCTTTTGTTTGTACGTTGTCCTACATTTCTTACGTATTTCCCTTGTCATCTCTTTTCCAAAATTCTGTGGACAGAAATATTTTCTAAAAAGATGAGGGGTTGGTGCTATCGTAAGATATGTGTGTAAGAAATCACTGTGTACTGACCAAATGCTAATATACAGTTCCAATACTAGTCAATCTTTTAAACTTCTGTATAGTTTTTACTGTTACTAGAATTTATAGTAGTAAGAAAAAGGAAGAATCTGTTTTAAAATGTAACATTTCATTTATGTTCTTGCAGCAAGATGATCAATCCTTTAGTCTCAGAAATTTGTAAGTGAATCTGTCACTTGGCAGTGCATCCAAATTTGGTTTAATGTGATTAAGATTTCCTTTGTAGTCATAAACATGTGAGATGCCAGTGCGTAAAGGTCTTTCAGTTAAGATGGTTTACAGTGTTTTGTTTCAGTTTCTAGCTGTGAGAAACCAGCCAGCCAGGGAGCAGCATGATTTTTGGTTCTGTTTTTCAGCCAATTAATCTGTAAGCAATAAATTTGAATGTCAGCACAGAAGAAATTAACCTCATTAAAGCAGTGCTGCAGAGTATATGTAGACAAACTTTTAGTCCCTGTCACTCAAATTAGTTGATTGCCAATTACCTTTGGTTAGCTAATGCTTCATGTAAATGTTAGTTTACTCTTTTCAAATACTTCTTTTTCATGGTTAGTATTTATCAAACTGATACATAATTTTGAGTAAATTCACCGATTACTGTGTTCACTATGTGTTTTCACTGCAGGTGTCTCTTCACTAGCATGTGATAAGTCAAAATGCTAATGAGAATGGGGCAGTCATTTTATTTTTTTTAAAGTTAATTCTTCCTGAGATAAAGGTTGTGTGAGAATATAGTGTACCTTTGTAGACACGTTAACGGATGTGAGTTACAAGGATCTTCAACCGTGTAAATTGTTTCCTGATAGCTCTCACTTGAGAACATCCTTCCTAGTGCAAAGGCACATGCTTGCATAGATTTTTTTTCTGGGTTAGAAAAAGCATGCTAAAGCTAGTCCTAGCTGGTGGATGTGTTTGTGTTGTGGTGAGGGGAAGATTGTTTTGAGGGGCTTTTTTGTTTGGTTGTTTTCTTTCACTAAAGGCAAGTTTATTTGTAGATTTAAATAAAGTGGCTACACTCAGAAAAACACTCAGCATTGGGCTGTCCCATACAGTAAAAATATGACCCTAATAATTGATAGCTCTGTGTGCATTTGGCATTTCAGATGGAAATAAAAACCTTTTTAGCTTGTTAAAACGTAGCAAAAGAACTCTCCGAAACACTGAAGTATCTCCTAGTTTTACACATCATTTTAGCTGCTTTCCTAAAGCCATCCAAATGTATTCTTTCAGAGGTATCTTGTGTTTGAGTAGACTTTGCAAAGTTTTATATGTACTACCCCTCACAGATATTGTTGTTCTATTCTTTGAAGAATACAGAAAAAATAATCTGAATTCAAACCAAGGTTTTATTATTCCCTGAACTAATGTGACCATCATTGGACTGGTCTTTATGAAGACAAGTAGCTTTTAATAGTAAGATGGATAAAGCGGTGAAACTCACAAGAGACTTAATTTCTGTTGGAAAGGCATATTTGTGAAAGAGTTGCCTGTGAATTAAGTTGCACAGATTCCAAATCTGCCTTTAGGGGAAAAGAGCTCAAAAGAGAAGTTTATGAAATTATGCTCTTGGCCTTTTGTTCACATATGTTCAGAAGACTTGAGGAACAAGAAACTTTTTAGGATTTTTCTGACGCAGTTTAACTCGGTGCTGTTTTGCCTGTAATTGAAGATCAGCAAATGACTGCAAATGTGAAATATTTGTAACCTTTCTAAGCCTTGTGAAATGAAATAAAGATTAATTTCCTGCCTTTTCAAGGCCAAGATTGAAAGCTATCCTGTAGCAAAATGAAAGAAAAACAAATAAAGCACAAAGTTTGGGGGTTTTGAAGTTGGGGGTTTTTATTATTTTTTTAAAAAGCTTCAGAACACTTTGGTGACCAGAACAAACAGGCCAAAGGAAAGAAATGGTGTAGAGTGAGTGCAAAATTCATCACATAGTGCACTATTTTGTAAGACGTGATAAATATTTCTTTTTAATCATTGGAAAAATAGCATGGGAAGCCTGAAGCAAACTTTCATTCAGTTTCCTTTAAGATAATTGCCTTGTAACGTATCATTGCATGTTAAATCTCTCCAATTTTATTCAGTTATGTTATGAACCTTTTAAAATATTTTTATATTTCACCTGCATATTATTCACATAACTTCAAAGAATAGTAATTTTGCAAGTTTTAATCTGGCACATCTTATGTTAGTTGTTGCCACAACTTGTTAGCTGTTTCCAAATCTTGTTAGCTGTTTCCAAAGTGCCCTGTCATTCTCCCACCTGATTTGTTCTATTAACTAAACTAAATCATTCAAACAAAAAGAAAAAAAAAAAATCAAGATGTTTAAAAATGGATTGAATTTCATCCTTTAAAGACAAGTTATACAATTGCTATAATGAATGAGGACTGAGCACCAGGAGAGAGCACTTACCCCCTATAAACAACCCAGGTCAAGGTAATTAAGAGAATTCCTTGTGTCATAATGTGGACTGTTTAGCATGATTGTGCAGACAGTGACAATGCAAATAGAGGGATTTGTGGAGATAAGGTTATGTTAAATTAAAAAGCTATCACTTTCCATGGACATCACACTGATGGAAGGGATGGTTTGAAGAAAAAGAAAATAAATTGATACAGCAATTCAAACAAATTGAAGATTAACCTTAAATTCATTTTGCTAAGGAAGGATATTGCTGTTTGCTGAAGGGAGGAGGTAAAATTGGGAGATGAAGAATGACTGGTATCTTTCTGTTTATGAATGACCAGCATATAAACCTTTTAGTGACTGTGTTAAATTGATATTGGAAAATAAGGAGGTGACTGGTGACAGCCAACACGGCTTCACTAAGGGCAAATCGTGCCTGACAAACTTGGTGGCCTTCTATGATGGGGTTACAGCGTCGGTGGATAAGGGAAGAGCAACTAACATCACCCACCCGGGCTTGTGCAAGGCATTTGACACTGT